GAGGAAGTTGGCTATTTCGGCAGGGTACTTTCAACGCGCTGGTTCCGACAGCAATGATGTAAGTATTGTTGAGCGAGGAAGATCAAACCTGTCAGTGCACAGAGCATATGGCTGGGCAAAGAAACTGGTTCGCAGTCAATATTTTGCTCATTTCATGGTCGTCGTCGTGTTGCTTGATGCGGTTTTGACTGCGAGCGACATAGACGCACGCGCAGCTGGTGTTGACACACCCTCGGCCGTCTTGGCCGGTTCCTCCGTATGCTTGGCTCTGTACACAGTGGAACTGCTTTTGCAGCTGGCCGTTCGAGGCGATGGGATCAGTGACATTCTTCTACGGCATGAATTCACTATCCATTTCCAACCCTTTGTGCAAGACTTGCATGTAATGTGCTTCGTATGGCTCAAATCATAAATTACAAATTATATTGACCGTAACGTTGCGAGAACCTTAGCAGTTTGCTCGTTGATGGTTGATCGTCGTGTGTGTGTGTGTGCGCGCGTATTGTAATAATACGGACTTCGAACTGGTAACGAAGCACGTTATAGACAGACATGGTTCAGCCATGCAGGAGGCAAACCTGGTAGCGAACTAGTGTTTGCTTGAAGGCATGTACGCGTGTGTACATTGAACTCAGGGGAAGCTACGTCCGTTTGTGCATGGTTGCCTTGATTTGCCTGGTCAGGCCCACGAATTTTCAAGGACTGGCTGACGAGACTGGACGTGTTCATCATCGGGTCCGGTTATGCCGACGTATTTCTGGGCATGCTGCTTCATGCGGACGTCCTCAATTCGATTGGGATTGTCAGAGTGTTGAGATTGAGCAGGATCGTGCGTTTGATGCAGCTAATGCGCAAGAACAGGTCTTTACGGGAACTGCGTAAGCTCGTGACTATGCTCGCGACGTGTTTCAAGACATTACTTTGGTCCTTTTTGTTTCTGTCCTTGGTCATGACTGGCTGGGCAATGCTCATAGTTGAGCTCATCAACCCGTACGTCCTCCAGATGCAGGCATCTCATCCTTTTGACAATTGCGAAGAATGCAAGCGATCAACCACATCAGTCATGCACGCCAACTTGATGCTGTTCAAGACCGTAATTGCCGGAGACAGTTGGGGCCTCATCGCAGTGCCCATGATTGAAAGCCATCCTGAGACTGCCATCATCTTTGTTGGGGCGTCCTTGACCTTAGTCTTCGGTGTGCTCAACTTGATTGTGGCTGAACCAAGCATGCATTTGAGGAGCTTTGTGATTTTGTCTCTAGTGGGCTTGCTGTGTTGTCGGCGTTGTTGTGTTGATTGTAGTGGACATGGCGACCATTGTTGTTGTACTGTCCATATCCGCCAGCGAGGTAGTCGTTGATACTTTCGCAGAGACTCGCGAGAACGATGTTGTCAACTTGGCACAAGAGATGGAATTTAGCATGGAGGATGACCAGCAGATCTTGAAACAAATTTTCCGAAGGACGGGTGTGATAATTCAACTCTTCTCAGCTTCTTTGCTCCGACTGCAGGCTCTTCGGTTCGTCGGGTGAACACGTTACATGATTATTTAGCTTGGTTGATTTGTGATGCTTGTACCCGGTTGACTGAAATACTCCGTACGAGATTGAAAGAAAGGATCGACACAAACAATGATGGCGAGCTCACTCTGGAAGAGTTGCTGAATGGAGCTCGTACAGATGCTGAGTTTCAGAGCAGGCCCGTCGGCTTCAAGCCATGCGTCTATGCGCATCAAACTTTAGTCTTTGAGTGCACGCACTGAATGATCACTGAATGCACCCCGCTGCAGTATAGACGTGATTTGCAGGTGTACTTAAAGGAATCGTGGCGTGTGGCATCATGTTGAAGACTGCTGCGTGAAAGAGCCAGGACTTGACTGTGTCCAAGCCGATGCTAGTAGGAACTGCAGAGCACAGAGGTAGAGAATGTCAGATTCCATTTTTGCGAGACCGAAGGAAGGCTTTGTTGTGTGAAGTATGACATGACAAGTCCTTCCTGGAAGGCTTCGAGTCATGGATATTGACGAAGTGGATCTGCAGCAATTCTTCGACATGATCGATCTCGACGGCTCTGGGTCCATCGAGGAGATGCCTGCAAAATGCATTCAACCCTGAGAGGCAATTGTGTGTTCTTCTTGAATTGAGGGTTTCTGTGTCAAGGCCGACGAGTTTGTGGTCCCTTTGAGCCGCTGGGTGCACGATTCCAAGACTGCGCCGAGATTCATCAAGTACAACCTGATGAGGGCCATGGCTCAACAGGCCGAACTTCTTTATGTCCAGGTGCAAAGATGTCACAAGCACACCCAATGACCTGTGATATGTCCAAGTCTTCCTCGCAGGAAGAGCTGCTCAAGTACTCACATCAGCATTTCGCGGCGATTTCTGAGAATCTCCAGGCCAAAACCAAGAAGCGACATGCAGCTGAACTTCGAACTTGCCACCATGCTTTCCATGCTGTGCCAGGAGATAAGATGTGAGCTTCGAAAAGGCCGACGGCCGTTTGCCGCAGCCAAGCCACGGCGATCTTCTGATCCTCCTGTCGTCTCAATCTCAGTTGATTTGAGTCTCCGTGGCGCCGCAAACAGTGGCAAGGCTTTTAATGCAGTCTCTATCCCTGGATGTCTGTGATTTCGAACCTGTTTCGGCTCGTTTTCTCTCTCTCTCTCTCTATCTCTCACTCCACGTCTATCGTTCTCTCCCTGTGCCTGCCCACGCGTGCATTTCGTTTCCGATGTCGTGGCTTACATAGTTATCTCAGTTATTTCGGAAGCCAGGGGGTAATTATTAGTTGCAGTATGGTTTTCGCTGGAATGAGCGTTTCGCTTCCTCTGGCCCTCGACTTGAACTGACCCAAGATCTGACAGAACCTGGCATGCGCACGCATTGCGTCCAACCAATCTTCGACATTTTCGTGAGATGTTTGTCGATTCTTAATTGCGAAACGTAGAGCGATCATCATCCTTGCGCGAGTCGCATGTGCTCCCAGCTTCGCAGCTCAGACCAAAAGCCCCAAGATGTCCAGCAGTTGACAGTTGTGTGTGAGTCATTCTTGCATTAAAGACAAGAGTTTCTGTCAATCTGTGCAGTCATGCATAGAACGGCTGTTCACAAGCGGCATCGCCACAGCCACAGCCCATATTATTATAGTATGTAGCCTTGCAGTGCTTTTAGCTGAACTTTTCAAAAGCAATGCACCTCAACGGCCGCGGCTGGCACATGCCAATTCTTGTACTGTATATAGGCATGTCTTTGCCAATCTCGTTCTCGCTCTCGAGCCCACATGCGGGTGCATGATCAGTGGAGGTGGTAAGATGGGGGACAACTCAGGTCAAGCGCGTCTCCTTCGACTCCGAAAGCTCGCAAGTATCCATCGCATCGGGGGTGCCTCTAGAGCCCAAGGCCAAGGACCGTAGCACCGGTGAGAGGCGCAAGTCGCAAGTAGTCAACTTTCTCGGTGTTGGACCCTGCATGCTTTCAAATTCAAAGATGCAGGACACGTTCCCCGAGCGAGCCGCGGGCATCATGAGTGATCCCAATCATTCTGTTTTCCATCGCAAGCTTGACAAGCTGAAGGCGGATCTTGAGCTTTCCTTGCAGGCGGGGTGTAGAGCAGGATGGACTGCCTTTCTCGGTGTTTAGCATGTTCGGTTTTGATTAACAAGAGGTGGTTGCCATTACTTGTTGCAGCCATCGTTGCAGGATCGGAGGCAGCTGGCAGTAGTCTTCATTTCTCATGCTTGTGATACGTGTGTGTGTGTGGGTCAGGTAGCCATGGGGCAGCTGGATGCATGCTTCCACGAAGCCTCTCTGGGCTTGCAGTCCATGGCACCCACCCACACATCGCCGGTGCATGGTGAAGACGGTTCTCCAAGACGGAGTTTGGTGAGGACCGGGAAGCTCACAGATGCTATAGCTCATCAGGTCTTTGCGTCGGTGTGGGACAATGTACGCAAGAATAAACTCAACCATGGACGACCACTCTTTTGCGATGTCCGTTCTGTGCAGGAATTCGCAAGCTGACGGTGCACTTGATGCAATGCCAAACCCAGCCAGTGATCTAGAGCGCGGTAAAGTTAAAGATGCAATGCCCAGCAAGCTTTCGAAGAAAGCCACGCGAGGCACCGAGGAATCTGAATTAGTTTCTGGCGACTTGCCACCAGCCGGAATCCACATACGCACCATGGAAGTTTGAGCAGTGCAGAAGCTTACCTTGGACTTGCTTCTCGCTTTCCTTGTCCCTGATGAAAAGGATTCTAAAGTCCTACAGTGGTCCTACAGGTGACACTATTGATTAATATAACATGAGCGTACTCTACGTCGAGGAAGGCTCGGAGCAGAGGCTCGTCCTGCGATCTGCAGCACTGTTATGCAGTGTTTTCTTCCAATAACGGCCGTTCAGGCTGCTTCGAGGTGTGCACCAATCTTTCACCGATGGCCCCTCGAAGAACTCTAGTACAGTCCGATCTAAGTGTAGTGCCACTCATACCGACTTCGCTTTCGCGGCCTGCTGTGCATTCCCTTCCATCGATTCCACGATTCCAGGTCCCACGAAGACTAAAGACGTGTTTCAATTCTAGCTCCTGCAGTGCAGAGCGCTCAGGGCGGCTTGGCGCCGCATATTGAGAGCCTAAAGAGCCAAGACGAAAGTGGTCACGACCGCCAAGCTGCACAAGATGCCGTTGACCGCAAATAGACTTGCCATCGCAAGGACTCCTTTCAAGCAACTGTTGCTGTTTGGCTCTGGTGGCTGTATGCTTGGGATGCGGAAGTTTTCGCCAGCAGCAAATTACTCCATTTCTACAGTTCGTTTTGTCATGCCAAGCGTGAACAGTAACGGCGCCATAGACCCAAACCAGCCCCACTGAATTGAAGTGAAACTATACATGCGTACATAACACGTGACACAAGCAACGCATGACCAATTACTGCTTGTCTTCGTTTGTTTAGAACGCCTACACCAGAGAAGGCACCTGCAGGAAAGGGCCGGGGCCTGGCAAGCAAATGGGGGCGATTCCGAGCTGCATCCTTAATGGATCTCTCTGACAGGTTAAAGAGTTTAGCTCATCAAAGTCTTAAGACACGAGCATTGCATGGTTCATAACATGTTTAACTAAATTAGCGCAGTCCCCAAGTCGTAGCAGTCCGCAGATATATTTTGCAGTAGTCTTGCCCTAATTATGTACTGGTTCCCACCTAGACTAGATCCAAAAAGTGATTGAGGCTTCGCAGTCGCAGCCGTGTCTAGTATTGGTGGTGGTGGTGGTCGTCGCGGTCGTGGTGGTAGGCATGGTCATAGTGGTAGTGGTAGTGGTGGTGGTAGTAGTAGTAGTAGTAGTACATAGTAGTAGTACGTTGTGCCGGCAAAGTAGGCCACTAACATTTGCTGGTGATCTTGGTAATCTTGCTTTTGCGGCTTTACAGGGGGGGGTTGGTCAGCTGCGTCATTTCGTCAAGTTTGGTGATTCTGCACCACTTAGGGAAGGGGGGCGCAAGATTAGCAAGACACCCAAAGTGGCGCAAGTGGTGCGAGGTTATCCAGCCCAGAAAACCTAGACCGAACCTCCCCACCACGGCAAAAACCACAACGCAAGATTACCAGGATGTCCGGGGTCATCTTGTAGCCCTTATATAGTGGTCTACTCTGCCGGCACATTGTAGTAGTTCTAAAAGTAGTACTGGTGATAGTAGGATGGAGGAAATCTTGCACCACCTGCATACGCTTATTCGAACACCCTCCAAGCAACGACCCCGCACCTCCTTTTTAACATTGACGACAGATCTCTTGGGGCGGTCCAAGATTTCTGTCGTTAGAACGATTTTGTAAAGCCCCGTGTTCATAGCAACGTTAAGAAGGGGGCGTGGGGTGAAGCTCCTTCACGTATCTTACAGCGGTGCAAGATTTCCTCCATCCACAGTCCCCAGATCTGGGTGCAGCTTTGACTGCTTCGTTGCTGTCGTACATGTCTGGCGGATAGCTCCAAACTGGACTTTTGCTTTAGTGACATTCAACATGCACTGTGCAAGCTCAGTTTGCTCCTGGATGCCCTGCAGAAGTCACACTTACCGTTGACCTAACGTTAAATAGAAGGCACAGTCAACGTTACAGT